ACACGCAAACGCCTAGTAAACACAAGAAATAAAAAAAAAAGATAAACACAGGAGGAAGAAAGATTGCGGCGTAGCGTCTCCTCACACATAAAAAGAAAGAAAATAGTAGGAGGTGCACAACCGTTCAACCAGTTGAAGATGATCGTAAACCTGAGACTGGGGCAGAAAAGAGAACACAACAGACGGTAGAGAAAGAGGAGGCAACGTCTCCCCAGTCTCAGGTTTACGATCATGTTCAACTAACACCAGCTCGCCTGCACTTTGACTATTTTTTTGTCCAACAAGTGTTCTTTTTTTTTTTTTCCTTTCAAATCCGCTTTTATTAGTTTTTGTGATAGCGTCATTTTGCATGTGCACAATCGACTTCTCCAGAGCATACGGACATCGCAGTAACGTACGTAGTTTGAAAATGCCTTTTGCCTCTTCATCCGGAGACGATCGGGATTAGCCATCTCGACTATTCGACAATACGGTTTTAAGCAATACATTCATGAGAAATTAGAATCGCAACAACAAAACGAATTGATCGATAAGAACAGTAAAGTTAAACGTAAATATGTTCTGAATTTTTTTTTTTTTTTTGCATTGCTTTTTTTTTAGTAAACATGGGCGAAGGTACATTCGTGTTTTGACTGGCATACGTAAGTTCTGACAGGGTGCTTTCTTCAGAAGAGCCCGAAAATTGCACCCTACAAGCTGTAACATCTTTCCCACGTGACGAAAATTCCTTCACTCATGAGGTTGCACCTATTTTTTAACATTCAAAGTAGCAAATACCCGTGACAATTTTTTTTGTTTTTGTTTTTTTTCATTGGTCTTTTCGCACGGAGATAGGCAATACCAATGGGCTGTGGAGAATTCGTCTGCTAGCGGAGACTCTGAGCTCGCCAGGGAAGCTTATTGTTGTTTGAGGCAAGGACTGTACCCTGGACAATATTTTTCAGGCGTTGCAAAGAGCTTAGATTGTTTTCAGATAGCATCCGCAAGTTGACGGATGTTGCGGTATTGATGAAGATTTGTTCAACCCTAACAGAATAACTGTTTGGCTTTTTCAAAGCTACCTTCCGAGGTTCTTCGCACTAAACAAATTTTTATCACAACTGCGACAAAAAAAAAAAAAATAAAAAGATTATGAAATGAAGTTGGCACAGCCCGTGTTCTCCTCGACGTAATCAGCGTCCGTTTTCGCCGCCGCCGACATCGAAGCAATGCGATTGTTTTCTGGCTTTACAAAGTAATTTTTTTGTTTTGTTTTAATACAGGACATTAAATTGAGGGCTCTGTGATGCTTTCAGCTTTTGGTTGGTGTTAATCATACGCATCTTCAATTACGGTTGGTGGCGTAGATTATTAGGACTGTTATTTTTATGCCTCTCGTCCGCATACATTGAGCTGCCTGCGCATCGAGAAAAACACAGGACGAGCATAAAAGAATAAAAAAAAAGAATAAAAAAAAGTTCAGAAACAAATTTGGTTTAATTTTGTGAAACGATTAGGGCCCAGTTCAATAGTTGTACACGCTTTACGCCGCGCGAGTACGTCCGCATGTTTCTTCGCGTTGTCACCGATTGTTTTACAGCGAAGCTTTCTATGGCTAGGGTTCCGTGGATTTTTCATGCGCATCAACAAAAACTCTTCACTCACACCGCCGCGCGCGCACGAATTCTCCGTATAAAAGATTAAAAGTAAATTACCAAAATAAAGCGTTGACGAACGCGTGCGCAAGATGCCATTTGTTTTGCAGACGCCAACACGCGCATCCTTGGATTCTCCTTGATGCTTGGGTAATTTAGCAACAAGGCTATTCGGTAGATAGCACCATTTTCAAGATTAGTAGACTCTCAGGTAGATAATGAAGGTTTCTCAAAGATTTTCCGCTGTGCGACCCGCGTCGGCGATGTCTACGCTCGCACCGCCCTCTCTTTGTCGTCGTTCCAAGCGCTTGCGTGCCATTTCCATTTTTTCCGCTTTCCCGGGGTGGCGGTCCCGTCGCGCGTGTCTACTTTCCGCTGAGTGGCAGTCCCGTCGCGCGTGTCTAGTTTCCTCCGGCTTCTCGGGGCAGCGAAGTCGTCCACGCAAAATAATGACCACTGACCAAGACAACAATAAATGTATGTGCCTACCTTTCGTCACGATGACCACCGATCAAGACAATAAATGTGTTCGTACCTTTCTTCAAAATTTTGTCACGTCTGCATCAAGTGCTAAACAGCTTCGCTGGTCATCCACCTTCACAGAGTGGAATGGCTCGATTCTTTTGTCAAAAGCTGCGTCTCGAGTGACAAATAAAAATAAGAAAAAAATGTGAACTCTGTTCATGTTTGCGTTCACGTCACGCACAAATCGAAGGTTTATCGCTGTATCTGCAGCGGAACGCAGCAACGTGTTAGCATCGCATCTCTTGCACGAAGCGCGGTCCCTTGTTTTTATGGGGTCTTTGCCAGTGGGCTAGTGCACACCAGTTCGGAGCACGTGGAGCGAAAGCTCGTGCTGCAGAAAACAGGGATCCTGGGTTCAATCCCCACCCCTGCCCGTTTCGATCTGGATGAGCATTGTACCGGCGTGCGGTCGTCACGCCAGGCTAGCGGTTGTACTGCACTGGCTAAACTGCACATCTACACAAGTGACTCGTCGCAACTTTGAAATGGCTGACCAACTACACGCTGTAATAAATGAATCCCGGAGAAAAACTCACCGGAGAAAAGCTCACTGGAGATAAGCTCACCTGAGAAAAGCTCACCGCAAAACCGGCGGATGCGGAGAAAAGCTCACCGGCCATTGAGCGTATGCGGAGCAAAGCTTACCGATATTTTTTCTTCTTTTTGTATGGAGGCTGTTGGATAATGCGTAACATATATCAATTTATAATCATTAAAATTCGTCAGCTTTGTAAAAAAGAAAATGTCCTTTTTGTAATATTTGTTAAGCTTATTGGGTATATATCTCCCAAATTAATAATTGCGGGCGAGTGTTTTCTGTGGCTTACTCTCGAAACAACGAAAGCCTAACTAAAAACTTTATAAACTTGAAGAACAGGAAAAAAAAAAAAAAAATGATGTCTGCCTAAAACCTAAAAAATCAAAGCTGTAACTGCCGAAAATTCAAAAGTGCATGCGCAACAACGCGGTGCCCGAAATTCTCTTTGAAGCTTTTGTTAATCTTTGAAAACAGGATAAAACAGTCAATAGGATATCGAGGCTTCTTTCTTCCACGGACATGCACGCTTTCTAGCCGTTCGTGCTCGTGTTTTCACACGTTCCCTTTGTGTGATACTGAGTGCCCTTCTACGGTGAGCCACCCATGACCTTCTTAGCTGCACAATGGCACCGTTGTTACTCGTAACCTATAGAAGAAGTAGTCCTCTGTTATGCAGCGAATAGGGCAAATTGGTAAACGTTATACATGATGAAAACCGCTCAAACAACGACAACGGTGTGAAGAAAACAAACACGACAAGCGAAGCTGTTCTCGCAACTAAAGTTTTGTTAGTGAAATTAACAGAAAGAAAATAACGTAGCCGACACTGATTACGTCAACAAACACCTTATCTATTGGGCACTACACAATATTTGGAGCTGAACCGGTTCACACACCGCTATTCATTATAGCTCGCAAATAGCAAACCTCTTTATCTGACAGAAGTACCGACGGCGCACCCTCAGCTGTCAATAAATTGTTGTCTTTTTTAACGGTGTACGATGTTTTGATTTTATGCTTGCGGCTTCATTAATTTATAGAATGGGTGATTACTAATTTCTGAGGAATTGGTAAATATGCCCAATGAACTTCAAGAATCTTACAAAAGAGATGACATATTTTTAATGAAGTGACGAATGCGAATTGTGTTAAATTGCGAAGTTTGACGCAGAATCAAGCCAAGCTAAAAAAAATATATCGGTGAGCTTTTCTCCGCATCCGCTCAAAGGCCGGTGAGCTTTTCTCCGCATCTGCCGGTCTTGTGGTGAGCTTATCTCCGGTGATCTTTTCTCCGGTGATATTTTCTCCGCCGCCCGTAATAAATCTACACACAATCCCCCCCCCCCCCCCCCCCCGCTCCCCGCTCCCCCCCCCCCCCCCCCCCCCCCCCGAATTATTTATTTGGAGTCTTTGCAGGTCGGGTCACTGGTTTCGTTTTCTCGCCGCGATGGCGGACATAGTTCTCAGTGCGATACTAGATTGCACTCTACATTTCGCATATTTAGCTGAACCTTTATGTAGTCGCACTTGTCAATAATATTTCAAAGTAATCGACTGAGTAATGAAAGTTTTGCTTCTATAAGGCTTTTTGTGTCAGTAATATTTCTATAACCAAAAAGTAATCGGGTCAGATAAGCTTCTACCAAGTTGTATTTTTTGTCAATAATTTCTCTAAGTATTCGAGAGTAATAAAACATGTTTGTTGAACCTTTCTCACGTAAATTGTATTATTATTAGATCGAAGTAATTAGAAGTGCAAGCCATATGTCAACTAAGCTTAAAATAAAATCAGATGCGTTAATAGCACAAATAAATCAAAAGAGCAATCACAAATTGCAATTGCACTTAGTATATCATCTGAATTGTAATAATAAAAATAAAAATAAGAAACAGTACACAAAATGTCAATTCAGCTCAAAAAAAGCCGAGTGCATTACTACTAACTCAGTTACCAAAAGAGTAATCAACATGTCAGTCGTGCAACTAGACTCCAAGTGACCGAAATAGTGATCAACATATAAGTAGTCCCTAACAAAAGTCTAGTTCTACAAACAATTACTCTAATTTATCAAAAGTGTAGGCACAACATGACCACTGAAGACAAGAACAGGCATTTATATATTGTGAATTAAATTCACTGATCCTGATAACACTGGGATTAAATTGGGTGGCACTTGGATTAAGTTAACCGTCGTTTAAATTAAAATAAGAGGGAAAACCTGTACTTGTCCTAAAGGGTAGAAACAATACAGGACTAGCATAGATCTGCCAGCAAATGTGAATCAAACAGACACAGCGACTAATTAAAATATTTGTGTCAATAATTGAGACGTATAATTTATTGATTAGTTAAATTAGGGACTAGCAAGGATGGCATTAAACAGTTCCTGCTCGTCTGGAGGGAAGGTCTGGAGCACCGCCTGAACCTCGCTGGGAATCTCGGAGCTTGTGGACTTGATGAGCTGCACCAGGCTGGTCCTTGTGTCTGGAAAAAGTGAAAAGTGCAGACACCGTGGCATTAAAAGCTTTCTCCAAATATTAAAGGTGTGCAAATATCCGGAACTTGGAATACTTCGACAAAAAAATGTGTGCTATTCGATTCAATTCGCAGCACACTTTTACTGTTCAAAGTATTTGAGTTCTTAAACTATTGGAAAATTACGAATATCTTCAAAATGCTTTGATTTCTAATGGTGGGCCGATCACGGAGGCAGTGCAATATCGGGTTAACCCATGACAAAGGTGAAAAAAGGTTCAAAGACTTCACCGCAATCCAAAAATAGGAGTTGTATCTTGCGTCCAAATGGGACTCGTATCAAATATTAAGCTGATGAGAAGATTTTGATTATCTCAAATAAATAAGGGAGTCACCACTGCTTCGCTCACCGTGTTACATTATGTTTTTCCCAAAGAGTCTTTTTCTTTGAATACAAGCATGTGAAATGTTTCTCATGAAATAAGACGGTTCCTTTTCATAAGCATGATATCCCGAAGAAAACGCGCAAAGAAGCGACACGTTGCCCCAGATTTGTTTACCGCCCATGCTGCGGCATCTTTACTAGGATTTCCGACGATTCCGGCCCTGTGGACGGATGACTCCGGTTCCACCCTTGCCCCAAACTCACCGGGTGTGACCTGGTTGGTCTTGATGACTCCCAGAACTAGCCTCAGGATCTGGGGCAGGTTCTTGAGGAACTGCTCATGCCTCAACTCGTACAGGCGGCAGATGCAACGAAACAGGGTCACATTCTCTTCTAAATCTTCCTCCAGCGGAAGGTGCTGGAGCAACACGGGAAACACCTGCAAAAGTGTTGCCAGACCCACACGATTAAAACTTCTGCAGGACGAATTGCTCGGGAACCAGTACAATTGTAGGCAACTTTGTTCCCCTTTTTTTTAGACCATGAGTTCTCAAACTGAGTCTTTAAAACTCAGGGGCTCCTGGGTTCCCTCAGCTGTCATATTTTCTTGACCATCCCTCCCAAAGCATTGTTTTTACCGTCTTCAAGCACTATTTTAACAGGTCTGAACAACTGATTACCTACAAGCCCAACACTCTTTAGCATGCACATTATTGATTACAAGGTCAGTAAGCTTCTGCATTGCTTTACTGGATCAATGCCGAGACTGGGAGGGGTTCCTCGGCTGCAATTCAAGAAGCCAAAATTTAATGTGAAAATATATATATTTTTTTAAAGGGGTGAATCAATACCACCTAGAACACAAGGCCTGCGCGTTTCCTCCTCTAAACGTCATCACTAGTAGATCCCCTCAGCGCCCCCTAGCTAGCCCGGATGAGCAACATCGTCTGCTCCATCGTCTGCTCCATCGCCTGCTTCGGTGGTTTCTGTAACAGATAATGAAACAGATGCTCACGCCGAGTGTTTCTTGCAAATAGCATACGATGAAGTTAGACGTTCACGTGGAGCGTCAAATGCATGAGCGAAATTGCCTTACTGCTGCGCGAAGGGCTGAAAAGCCCTTCGTTGGACGCTGGCCGCTGACACTGGACGCCATTTTCGAGGGCGCTGTTTATACCCCGGGTAGATGCTTCGAAGCGTTCTACCGCAGAACGAGCGCGCGCGCTAGAAATGCGCGTCTCAAAGCCAGGAGCGCGTGCTAGCTCGCGCTCCTGGCCGAGGGAGCGTTCGCGTGCACGTCGCAAATGCACTGGAAGCTCGCTATCAGCTCGCGCTCAGCAGTCACGCACACAGCTGCGGCCGCAAGTGAATGCGACGTAGTACGTAGTTGCGACAGTTGCGACGCGGCCCCTACTCTCGTCAAGCTTCAGCTGTTTGCCACTTGGGGCGGGTCGGGGATCTACTAACGAAACGTCATGCGCAGGCCTTGTCTTCTAGGTGGTATTGGGTGAATACATGGTGAATACATGGTGAAGCCATTTTCACCTTGCATTTATCAGGCTCGGCGAACGTCATTAGGTGAGAAGATAACCGTCGTGCTAACTTGACCGATAAACTTACATTTGTCAACTTTTTAATTACTGAGTTTATGAATCATGTTAGAATTGTAATATTGACTGCAATTACTATTAAAGGCCAGACCAATTTAAAGAATTTGTGAAAAGGTGATGATTTTTAAGATATTCACAGAAAATTTTTCTGAGTTTTTTTGCCCTATTTAAAACTTGCACACAAAAAGAGTGCATCAACCCCTGCCCACAATGACGCTTGGAAGAGTGACGTAGTCGTTTAGGTCACGTCGTCACTTGTGTCGCCGGCGCAGCTACCAAGGACACGCTGCTGAGATAGTGACATGATTGAAACGACCAGGTCACTCTTCCAAGCGTCATTATGGGCAGGGCTTGCAACACTCTTTAAGCGCAACTTTTAAATTGTGCAAAAATATGCGAGAATTCCAACATGACTCCTAAAACCAATAATGAAAAAAGTTAATGGAGATTTTAATTAACAAGTCAACTTACCACAACAATTATTCCCTGATCTAATGTCCACCGAGCCTGATAAATACATGGTGAAGACAGAACTCGTCTAACTCTCACTCCCCATTTTTAAAAAAATCAGTTGAACTTAAAATTAAGCACCCTAGATGTTTCTCAAGGTTGAAAAGTTTGCTTTCGACGTTCTAAGCAGGCTTAAGTGACATCGACAAATAGCTTTGGGAGCTAGCAAGCAGGTGCTCTTATGTTTTGCTACAGTCACAAAAGGATGTTGTGCCAACCTTGACTGATTTCTGGGTTTTTGTTTGATGCTATTAGTTTTGCTAGTCACCTTCAATTCAACTGCCTTATTTTCCCTACTACTAATTTAGTGACAATTGACAATGGTACTACATAAGTGTAGATCCTCTTCTGTTCTGCTCAAAGGTCACCTACAACATGATTTGACATTTCTTTTAATGTTGCATTTTACTTAGCCTATGATCTTGTATTTATGGCTTGTTTCTTTTTGTATTACATATATTTATGTAATGCTTTCGGGCATTTAAGGTGTAAAATAAATTAATAAATAATAACAAATAATCAGATTTTTCTTCTATGACCTTTTTACGCAATTGTTCAAATGTGGTGTAAGATCCTTGAAACGACAAACTTATCCAAACATAATACAAGACAAACAAATTAAAAAAAAAAAACTGACAAAACGGCGCAAGTTTAGTTTAATCTTTACGTCAAAGGCCTACAAGACGAAAAGGAACCGGTGAAAAGGTAAAAGGCGGGTACAAAAAAGTCACAGTTCTACTAAACTGGTATGGCAGCAGCTCTCAAATGGAAATCCGCAGACCCTTTGGGGTCCCTAAGGGGCTGCACGGGGTCCCTGAAGGCCCTCTTGGGGTTCCTGAATGCTTCGACGATCAGTCAAGCTGAGCACTAAAACTTTTTTTTATTGATGCTGGCTGCCACACAAAGCTAAATAGACAAAACCATGTGCACTGAGTGAGTAGGTTCATTATTAATGCGAAAGCATTAACTGTCTTATGGAGCAAACTGACGTATTCAGCTTTTGAAGCCGAGCCAAACGGCACCTTCCCCTGTCCCAGTGGAGTGAAGGCTGTCGTCTGTAGTAGAAATCTAATGGATAGGCTCCCATCGGCTCTCGTGCGAAGTAGTTAGAAAAAACGCCAGCAGAGAAGCCCTGTCTATGGCAGCGCAGTGCACACAGCGACCCGGCCACCGGTAAGAGGGAGCAGCTGGCCGCCGAGCCTGCGCGGGCAAACTCCGGAGAGGCTGCACGGCAGAGCTCAGCGCACACGATCACTTCACGAGAGTGCACGCTGGGTCGACGGCCGCTACCTCGGCAGTAGCGAAACGTGGCCATCCACGCCAGTATGCCGCAGACGAACTAAGGGAGCGGAAGAAAGACATTCATGCTTTCGCATTAAGAACTCATAAGTGCCTAGGTGTCCTCGAAGTTTTTCTCTATTTGAGGGCTGCAAAGTTGGTTTGCATACATTTAGTTTCCTTCACTTACTTTTTTTGTCACTACAATCATTCAAACCCTCCCCCACTTCCCGTAGATGGGGGCCACCATCACTTCCGCCGATCCAGGAGGGGTGCCTCAAACATCGGTGGTCAAAAACCACCGTGGTACAGGTTGTATGGCATGATCAGGCATCTACAACTACTAAACACCTGAAGTAATACAAGAGTGTGTAAAATGGTCAACGAACACAAATCAATTAACGGCGTTCACCTCTGCCATGGGCACCGCATTCACCGAGGTCAGGATCAGTCTCGCCACGGCTCCACAGATGTTGTCCTTCGCCTGGCGACTGCTCTCCTTGGACAGCATCGAGGAGAGTGCTGCCAGGAGGGCAGGATACTCTCTGCCACACATCACTGAGTCAAGGCTTCAAATGTCTCCACTGCACGTCAACATATTGCCTCAATATCCCCAAAACTTCCAACTCCTACGGAACGAGCCCAGCGACCCCATAATGCAGCAAGTCGGACAAAAGCCTGTCCAAGATCAAGCGCGACTGGATGCATGCCCTTTTTCGGTCAAAAGTAAACAATGGAATCTCAACCACAGGTTCCCTGAGGTTTCCCAGAGCACCCTGGAGGGTTCTCTGATGAGCCACATTTCCCCAACCGTCTCGGCCCCTTAATAAAATGTTCTTCTGGTTTAATCACTACTTTCAAAGATCCGAGTCATCCAATGATGCGAGTCAAAAAGTATGCGCATTACAGTTTACAAAGTCTGTGGGCTTCTGCACTCCGTTCTTGGACCAACGCTGTGCTTGAGAGCGTTTCCTCAGCCATATATCGGGAGAGATGAGCGTTTTCTAAGCTCGAAGATATCTCCTGATCTGCACATTTCGGACTGTCTAAAGGTTACCAGTATACTCTGTACGCAGGTTAAGAAAAACGGGACACCGCCGGGATGGCGGCCAGCGACAACGCGACACATTACGACGTCGCCGGGCGGAAATCAGTGGCCCACTTTTCGGGACGCAACAAACGCGCCAGTCGGAGACGCGTTCCAGGCGCCGTACCACAAGGGAAGAAGAGGCTTGGCACACACCAGGCAAGGATACGAGACCAGTGCGTCGCCGGCGCTCTCGGCGAGCGCACCCAGCCCGAAGACTGCGTTGCTGCGCACCTCGGCGTCCGCGTCCCGCATGCAGCCGAGGAAGACGGCCAGCAAGGGCTGGCAGAAGGGTGCCAGGGCATCCCTGTTGAGGTGCTGTGCCACCTCCGCCAAGGTGCCCACCGCATAGGAGCGGTCCGAGCGGCTGCTGCGCTCCTTCAGCTTGCCCGTAAACAAGGGCACCAGCTGGCCCAGGTGGGGCAGGAAGCGCTCGGGAGGCAGTGCCTGGGCCAGCGCCGGGACCAGGTCCCCGGCCACCTGGACCAGGAGCCCGTCGTACTCCGCCTCCTCGTCTTCCGCCTCTTCGCCGTCGCTGTCACAGTCCTGGGACGGCAGCTGCGGAGGACGGGGTCGGTGACCGTCGACGTTCCTAGTGCTGAGCCATGTTTAGAGTATAGACACCTGCACATTCTATTTATCTTTAACGGAGACGGCCATTACAGGCAAGCCTTTGCAGCGGATCCTTGAGTGTTTCATGTAGTCTCTCGTGACGTCAGTTTCGCGCAACATCATGGCATCACACAACGAGACATCACATGACACCATAATGTCGTGTGACAGAATATCACAGTGCCACTTGATGTCACGGTGTTGCGTGACATCGGAACTGATGTCACAATGTCATGTAACATCGCCAGGTTCAGCAGGGAAATTCCTCCTTAGCTTTACTGTGAACGACTTCATTTTTGCGGGTTCAATATTTTGCAAATTTCGGAAAATCAAGGTTTCGGGAATATGTTGCGGGCATGAAATTTTGTGATTTCGGGAGACGTGCTATGTATTCATTACTTTGGGGTCATACGTTCGCAAGACCAATTTTTCACAATATTTTTCTAAGCCTCAAAATTTTGAATAATTAAGTTGTGTACAGTATCGGGAGAATGCCTGTGTGCAATGTCATTGTGTGTAGCCTTTGTGCAGACACAGACTGCACACAATCGCACTGCACCAGAGTTCTTTTGCGGGACATGGCAAGGAACCAGGAAATTATGTTTCCGAGAAACTACTCTCTTTTTAGGTTCAAGAGGTGTTAAGAGGGAGCGCTCCTCGATTTTCATCTCCGATAGGAACTTTTCAAGATTCCAGATGGCGCGCGCGTCGAAGGCGTGAAAAGGCGCTCTCCCTCCGAGGCGAATGAGTGCGTAACGTATTTGGGTCTAGCAGCGAAATGAGAGCTCGTGTCCCTTAAAACTCCTCGGGAAAGAACGTAAACCACATTTTGGTTCGTTACAGTTGCATTTCCTTCAGTGTAGTCGAAACGCAACCAAAACGCCGCTAGTGACAGCCTTCACAGTGCTTCCGTGCCCCCAGAAATTCGCGGACGGCGCTTCACGTCTCCTTCGGTAGGGTGACGTAAACGACACGTGATGACGTCGCATTCGATGCTCGCAGCGGATTGGCGGGTTTGTGAGGCTCGTGCCGAGTCGCTCACGGCGGCGGCGGCGGGCGGGCCGCGGTCGGCAGTCGCCCTCAGGGGCTAGAGGGGTGAGGAGTGCGGTCGGTGAATGTTCGCGGGGAGTGACTTCTCCGGAGGATTCGCAGAACTCTGAACGCCGATATGTTGTCCGTCCGGCGGTGACGGCTGTTCGCGCACGACCGCTTTGTTTTGGTCGTTATTGGTTGAGAAGGCCTAGACTTTTCAGTCGCGATATGTCAGTCGGCTAGCCTTCCCGAAGAGAAGCAAAATCAAGAGGTAAGAACTTTTTTTATGACGTCTCCATTCAGTTATGATTTCTGTCGCAAGTGATGTACATTTTCACTTTATCAAAATCGTGCGATTGCCACGATCAACTGAGAGTCACTTTGTGTACTTCAGGTTGGTGCGAACCACACACTGAATAGACGTATAACATCTATTGTAAACAGATTGCTTCCAGATTCGGATGTGTTCGAGGGACGAAGTACGTCGCTATCATTAGCTAGTTTGAAATTTTCATGAAAGCTCGCAACTGTTACTTGGTGTCCTGCATTGAACATAATTATTGACTCTGCTTTTAACCAATCTGCTATTTATACATTCTAGCGCAAGACTTGGTCGGCTCGGCAAACAGTCTTATCGACTCCAGTTTGTGACCGCCTCCAGTGCTTCAACTTGGGCGGTTTCGTGCCTGAAGACTGCGCTAATCTGCAATCAAGGGACATGATGTTATCATTCTATGCACAGGCCTTTCAAACATCAACTCGTTATCGTCTTCACTGTGTTGGTGTTTTGGAGGAAGGACGAAGTCCCGCTACAGTATTCTGAGTGAGGACAGGAAGAACATGCGTTCTTTCAATCGAGAACGTTTTCCACTTGCGTCTATTTTCCAATTTTAGATGAATTTCATAATTGCAATATTAAAATGCGACCGCGCAATGTGAATAAAGTCTCCTGGGTGCTTGTTTTGCACTTGACTGACCACCAGTTTTCGTTTCTACATTTCTTGTCGTGTCTCTATAGTCGTTCCTAAGTTTGATTACTTCTCCTCGACTACTAAGATCCCTCTTTTGTACTCGAAAACGTAAAGCTACTAAAATATGTTACGTGAAGGGTCCGATTTTCCTCTACCCACTAAAAGAACGCAATAAAATGTGATGGTGCATGCGTATTCTACATAAATAAAACGTACAGAAGCCACCTAGCTTACTGATATTTGTTTGTCAAATATACACGCAGTTGTGTTATGTTATGCCGCGGCAGTTTTCTCTAAGACGACTCCGTCTTCAGATAAGAACGGCCGACCGTGTCCGGTGACAGTTTTTAATTTTGACCAGAAAAATGCATCTTGCTGCCTCAATGCCCCGAAAAACGGAACCGGTCTTTGTTTTAGGAAAAAGCAAACTTGCCTTCAAGAAAAAAAGTCAGAAACACCTGCTCAATCTGAAGCGTTGTTTGTGGATTTCGCAAAATTGGCATTTCAGGCAGCTCTCCCCCAAAATGTGCTGTGGCTACTGGCCCCTATGGGGATGGTTGACCTAAATTATTTATCACGACGTATTGACGTCGTTATTTTGAAATAGAAAATCGCACAGACGACGGCACATTGAGCCATACTGCCTAAGTTTTAACTTTTTTTTTTTTCTCTGCATTTATTCAAGCCCGGATTTTCAAACTTTGCTAGCGTGTTGTCCTCTATCTGACTATAAATATTGTTGTCCTGATTAGCAAGAAAAGTTTACGAGAAACGCTTAAATGGAGGCATTTTACTAAATATGCATACTTTTGCAAATCAATTTTTAAAAAAAATTGCAATCTTAGATATTTTTAACTCTTCCAAATTAACGCCAATGATATCTATGAACATGATGAGCAAAAATATCATTGCATTGTTTGCGTGTATTATACATACCCGTAGTTGACAAGTTCATAATTTTTACAGCCCGTAAAAGTCCTCCGGGGTGGTCAGATGGACAGCGCTCGGGTGGGCGATAGTTTCTAAGTGATAATTTTGAGCAAGTCATGTTTTCTTTGTACAAGATTAAAAAAAAAAAAAAAAAAAAAAATCAGCATGACCCGGAGCAATCCAGAGACGCTAGCCTGTCGCACGCTTCGCAGGGTACGTTTCCAGTAGTCGGCGTGTACGCCCAGCAAAGGAATCAACCGAAGTGGCTCCGATAGCAGATGTTTATCTCAGCGTGTAAGAGAATGGGGCTGCCGAGAACAATGAGCTTGAGCACGTAATCACAAAAGATATATTGTGCAACAATAAACAGGACGTGGACGGGAAGGAATACACGAAGTTTCGGGTGGACGCCCATCTTCTTGTAAGAAACAAAAAATCGGTGAGTAAGAAGCATAGCCCCCTTTTCTTGTGACGTATACAACCCTTTCCTTGTTCCTCACCGTGTTTCGTAACTATCACTTGAAGGACGTTCCCCCGAAACGTCGTATTTTCCTTCCAGTCCACGTTTTAGGCAGTTTTGCTGCATCCTTCGCGTTCTTGATTAATTAGTCACCCAGAGGATCACGTCACAAGAAGGAGTGCGTTGATTGGTGGAAAAAGAGGGGAGGCGAAACCATTAGAGGGCACAAACTCTTCGGTTGCCATATATTATTAGAGAATATATTCACAAGCGACGTCATGCGTAGTGACAAATAAAAAAAGGGCTTGTAGCTGCGCTCCGATCAGTGATGATACCAGCCACGATTCCTCCCGCACATGCTACGGCCTTGGGAAAATTCACGAGTGGCTGAGGACGTTGCTCCTTTCTACGCACATTTTATCTAGGTCAGTGACGGCGGAGCAAGCTACTTCAAGAATAGGTACGAACTTCATGAGCTCGCTAAGACCCGAGTACCTGTCGGCCAAGTAACAAGTTTCCGCTACTGGGAGGTAAGAACGCCTGCGATGGGATTGGAGGCCTCGTCAAGCACCATGATGCAACTGTTTACAACCTTCGAGGGCCGGCTACATCAGATATCAAATGTGCGTCAGATATGGAGGACGTCCTCAGCACCAAATTACCCAATGTGGCATTGGTTCGCAAGGGCTGACTTTCAGGAGTTCAGTTGAAATGAAAACCACAGCCTGGGATTCCCTCCATCCCGTGCCTGGAATTCAATTCTGGCACTGCTGACAGTGTATACATGCATCAACCCACTGCGACACGAATTGCTGGTAGCAAGAACGATAGCGTCTGCAAACAAGCCACTCGGACAATAAAGGCACGATTCCACCCAGGCCTGCTGGCAGTCTAGTGCGAAGCGGCTACAGTGAGTCTAAGACAAAAATGTGATGAAAAGGGAGCATAAAAAGTCTCAAGCAAACGAAAGTCTTTCTTTTCTTTTCTTTTTCTTTTTATTCTCTTCACGGTGTGCGGTGTGCGGCCCACCACGAGGCCCTATTGCCGCGCGAAGGTGCCCCCGTTGTACGGCGCCCTGTCCTCAATATCGTGTTAGAGCCCTATATCGTGTTACCCAAACGCCTGTCATCGGAGCCGCACCGATCGTTTCCCCTACGTGGCGTGCGCACAGAGGCTACACGCCCGCTGTAGAAAACGGGCACTGCGAAGCGTGCGACAGGCTAGCGTCTCGCGATTGCTCCAGCTTCTGCGCATTTTTGTGACTCTTGTACTAATAATAAGGACAAAAAACAACCGCATCTCCACGTGGTAAATGATGTTGATTGAGGCGAAGATCTGGTGGTGCTTGTCTGCGTAGACGCTGAGCCGCAGCATGCCCAGCCTTTCGTTCGTTTTCATCCATGTCACGCTGCGATCAAATGCTCAAAGGCGTATATAACCACGTTCGATACCACGCATTCTCTTTCTGACATGGATGAAAACGAACGAAAGGCTCGGCATGCTGCGGCTCATTGTCTACGCCAGGTGGGGTAAAGGTGGGTGAGGAGGAGTGG